AGCATCACCATCAGAGCCAAACTAACGTTGCTCTAGGTTCAAACAGCCTGTTCTACATCAGAAAATTAGTTTTAAAATCCATTATAAACAATTTCTTCTTGTTCTGGTGCAATATGTCAGCACTGTGCGTATTTTAACGGTTGTTGGTTTGTAAATGTGCTGTGAAACTGCCCCAAAACAGTCACTCCAGCCCAAAAATCTCCACCACAACCTCTGCAAACTGAGCCTGATGCAGCTCCCAAACCACTTCTGCTTTAGCAAAGCAAAGGGATCCCAAAGCTACCCCCAAAAACCCCAATGCTGGGCTTCCCAAACCACCCTCAGCAGCACCGAGAGCAGCTTGGGCAGGAAACAGCCACAACTGGGGGGACAAAGTGAAGAACTGAGGCCAGGTTCAACGAATTAGGGAAAAAATGGGCTTTGAGCTGGGGTTCCCAAGCTGTTTGCCACTGCCCAAAGACAGATTTCAGTCCAACAACAGTTTAATTTCACTTCCAGAGTTGCATATTGGTTCATTTACAGCTAAAAGTGGAGCTGTACAATCACCTCCGCGGTGTGCCTGGACCTCACAGCAAACACACTCCCAAATTCCTGGTATTTCTGCCAAAATTAAATATATTTTACCACATTAACATTCCCAGCCTCTCTGCCTGCCTGGTTTGTTTTCCTCCAAGCAGCTGGCGTTGCTGAGGAAGCTTTTTCCTTGCTGATCCATAGTATTTCCCAGGGGTGACTACAGTATGGAATAAGCATCCAGCTCGAGGCTTGGCAGCTGAAGGAGCCAAAAACAACAATCCCAACCAACAGCAGGAGTGAGAACAGCCCATCCAACACCAGCAACGAAACACCAGGATCCTCTGCAATCCCAAAATACATCTGGAGAACAAAAAAGCAGAGGTGGAAACCCTTCCCCATCTCCTTTCTGCTCGATTTGCGATTGCTCAGATGCCGCTGTGCATCAAGTGAAGCCCCAAGGTGCCACCCAAGGATTTTGTTTAACAAAATGAAGTTTCAAGTGGGAACAAGGGAGGGTTTCTCCTTTTCCCCAGCCGTATCTGAACATGGTGGGAACAGAAAGGAAGTTTCTGGAGCACAGAGGAGAATCCCTTTCTTGAGGGGAAGGAATTTCCGCTCTGGGCAGGGGAAGGAAGTGACAGTGTGCTGCTCACAGGGAATTGCTTTTCAAGCCTTGCACATCTCCCCAGAGCCCAGCACACATCCCATGAGGAATGTTTCCCTCTCGTGGCTCAGGTGGAAGCCCAGGACAGACCCTGAGGCTGGGCACCTGTGCAGAGTGGCCCCAGCCTCCCAAAACCAGGGACAGCACGGGCAGGGAGATGGCACGGGAAGAGCTCTGCCTTTCTCCCCCTTTGGGATTTTTGGGAAACGCGCAGGAACACAAAGATTCCTTCCCAATTTCCGTCTTCTCCCCATTCCAAACACGAGCAACACGGCACTGAGATGAATTCCTGGAGCCCACGGTGGAGTTTTCACTCTGTACAACTCCCTGGAAGGAGGCTGGAACAACAGCATGAGAGGAAACAGCCCAAAGCTGTACCAGGGCAGGTTTAGGATGGGTGGGAGGGAAAATTCCTTCCCAGAAAGGGCATTTGGAAGGGAGTCACCGCTGCTGGAGGTGTCCAGTTAGGAGTCCCAAGAAATCCCAGGTGGGTTTCCAACATCCTGGCTGGGTCTGTGTCCCAGCCCTTCCCAGAACCAATCCCTGCTTCCCTACACCCTGTGCTGGATCTAATTAAGGCCAGAAGAGAGCAAATGTAAATCCCAACCCCCACCAGTGCTCCAGGCTCCCAGCCCAGCTCTCCTGGGAAAGGCTCTGCTGCAACCACTGGCATCCCAACGGGGGAAAAAAAGGCTCCAAAATAAAATTACTGCAAATATTCCCAGCTGTGATTTACCACAGGGGCTGCTGCAGCATTTATATACATTTTTATTGTACTAAACTGGTGATTTTTGCTGCAGAAGCTTCAGCAGGGGGATTAATTGCCAGGCTCACGTTTGGACATCAAATCTCACAGGATTTGCTTTAAATTTACCCATTTGTGAGCTCGCCAAAATGTTTGGAGCAGGTTTGGGAGCGAATGAACCAGCCTTAAAAGTACTCTGCATTTCACTAACAACTATAAGGCTTGGATATTTCTGCTTTTATGTTTTTTTATTTACAAAACATCTCAATTTCCGTGTCTGGGGTACATTAAATTGATTTTTTTTAAGCAAGCAGGAGGTTTTCAGCTTGTTTGAGTTTCCCATGCAATGCCAGCTCAGCACTTTCATCCCCATGGGAACCTTCTCCACGAAGAAATATAGAAATTAAGAAAAGAATGTTTCTTCCATTGCTAAGGGGTTGAAATGAAGACATTCTGGGTAGTTTTCAGGCATTACCCAGCATTCACTGGAGCCCTGAAATCTGTTTTTTAATGTTTTAAAGAAGACCCACATTATTTGTGAGAGTTCTTCAGAATTTAATTTTTCTAATAATCTCCATGTTTACTGCTTGTGTATTTCTCTCCCTATGTGTAAAAAGGTTGAGTGAATATTGGTCACTCTGCCCATGATTAAAAATATTTAACACAGATGTTAAAAATTTTCTTTTCTTTCAGAACGTAAAACTTTCTTATTATGCAAAATACCACAGAACCCTGAAGACTCCACTTCCACAAATGCTTGGATACCCACGAGTATCTTCCTTCCTCCTACACTGGATGGTCTGAGCCCCCAGTGCGTTTTTGCACCTTTAAATGCCACAAAACCTTCCAAAACAATTAAAATAAAACCCCAGAATCCTTCAGCAGTGTCACTGAACACTCCTGGATAAACCTGAGTGTGTCTCACGACGCTCAAGCCACAAGAAGAGCCATAAAGCAAAGCTAAGATTAAAAAAAAAAAAAGCCCAGAAACACAAACAAGCTCAGATTGTGATCGCAGCCACCACGTTGAAAATCCATCACGACTTCACAGACGCTGGGTTAATCTGGACACGAGCTCGTTTCAGAGAAGTTTGGCCAGAGAATTGATAAAATCACATTTTTTTCTGGCAAGAATCAGGGATCAGAAGCTCCCAGCTTCCTGTGCAGAGGGAGCTGAGGACTCTGGGGACCAACCTGAGGGAACATTGTGCTCCAGGCCCTCCCCTCCTTCACAGAGCTCAGAGACATTTGTGCTAAACCTCCAAAGCGGGACAGCACTTTTTGCTGGGAATTAAGGAAAACCTCAGTGAAACACAGCTGATAAAGGAGTTTAAACCGACAGAAGCAGTCAAGGAAAACAAATCCAAACGAGTGATGATGGAACCCCACTGCAGGGACCCCAAATCCAGGGATCCCCACTTTGAGGGTCTCCTGGCACCACCGGTTCTCCAGCGACCCCCTGCCCCGAGCACCCCAAATCCAGGTAACACAGCCCTCACTCCTTCAGGGTGCCCCCATCCCCCTGTGCCATTCCCCCTTCTCCAGAGGCCCCTCAGCCCTCCAAGACCCTCCTCACGCCCCTGTCAACCATTCAGCGACCCCTGAGGTGCCCCTCAGAGCCCCACACGACAGCCCCCGCCCCTGAGAGTCGCCCTCAGCCTTCCAGGCCCCGTGAGAGCCCTCGGGCCTCCTGAGCCCTCCCTGAGCTCCCCCGGCGCCGCGTGTGCCGCCGCGGCCGGGCTCACCCGCGCTGGCGGCGGTGGCGGCCATGGCGGGGGTCCCGGGCCGCCCCCTCCTCGCTCCGCTCCGCCGAGCCAAGATGGCGGCGCAGGAAAACCTCCGCCGGCCCCACGGCCCCGCCGCCGCGGGGGCGGGGCCAGCGGCACGGCGGCCTCCTATTGGCTCAAGCGGGGGGCGGGGGGAGGGACACGGGGAGACGCGGCACTGCTATTGGTCCGAACGGAGGGCTGGGGGCGGGGATAAGCGGAGGGCACGGCTGGGGGCGGGGCTAACGCGGCCGTGCCCCGCCCCCGCCGGGAAGGAGGCGGGGCTTTGGAGGGGGCGTGGCCATAGTGGGTGGTGCGGATGACGTCACGAACCATTGGGATTGGAATTAGAATTGGAATTACGATTGGAATTAGGATTAGGACTGAGATTGGCGTGAAATTGGGCTTCTAAAACCCCAGGAATGAAGATGCGGATCCAGACCGGACACGTGATTTCGGTCGGAACTGGGGTTGGGCTTGGAATGTGTTTTTTTGTCCGGACTGGAATTTTGGGGCCACCAACGGGACTCCACGATTCATCCTGTGCTGAAAAATCTCTAGAAAACCCCACCAGCCCGGCTCTTGGGGTGTCAAAGTTTCACTGGCTTCCCAAAGCCATCATTTTTTCTCCCAGAGTAGGGAAATAATAAATTCAAAGGAGATTTTTGGTGTATTTTGGGTGTTCTGGTGTTTTCACGAGGATGTCTTGCGAGATCCCAATGGGCGGCTCAGTTCAATGCATTTTCCAAGAGTTTTTTCCAGTCTATTCCAATATAAGCAAAAAACTACCCTGAAATCCTCTCACAGGCAAGGCTTTTGGATTTTGGGGATAAATCCTCCTCAGCATTTCCCCAATCACCCCAAATCCACCAGGAGGACCCCTGAAGGGACCCAGAGCCTTCTCCTGATGGGAGAAGGGGGTGTGGGGTGGGAACTTGATCCTCTGGGTTGTGTCTGAAAAGTGATGCCGGCACATTCCTGCAGAATTCATGAAGGCCTGGAGCCAGCGGGGCCAGGACAGAGACCCAGAGCCGGCCACAGGGAGGTAAGGAAGGAGCAGAGGGGACTCAAGGCCACATTTCCCCCCCCTTTTTTGGGGTGTTTTTGACCCTTCAGCCCATGAATCCACCCTGGTTCTGGTCCCTCAGGGATGTTATTGCGGGTTGAGCGCTGGGGGACACGTGCTGGAGGATCCCTGGAGCCAGGAACAGATACCTGAGGGTCCCTGGAGCTGGGAAAGACACACTTGAGGGTCCCTGGAACAAAAGAACACCCACCTGAGGGTCCCTGGAGCCAAGGGACACCCTAGGGTCCCTGGAGCTGTGCCAGACACACCTGAGGGTACCTGGAGTGGTGCCAGACACACCTGAGGGTCCCTGGATGGAGACCCCCACGGTGCTGCCCGCCATGGACGTGGACAAAGCCGTGGCCACGGCCTTCGTGGTGCTGCTGGGGCTCTTCCTCCTGGCCATGACCGTGCGCTGCGCCCGGCTCGTGGTGGATCCCTACAGCGCCATTCCCACCTCCACCTGGGAGGAGGAACCCATCAACTGACCCCCAAATCCCTCCAGGAACCCCAGACCCCGCAGGGTGCTCCAACGAGCCCCAGCACCACCAGCAGCACCCATTTCCTGAGAGCTGCCGGTAGCTCCAGCACCCCCCATCCTCCACGGGTCCCTCCGTCCTCCAGGACCCCCACTGCTCCCCAGTTTCCCTCATTGTTCCCCAATTTCCCTCATTGTTCCTCAATTTCCCTCATTGTTCCTCAATTTCCCCCATTGCTCCTCAATTTCCCTCACTGCTCCCCATTTCCCCCAATTTCTCCTATTGCTCCCCAATTTACCCCATTGTTCCCAATTTCTCTCATTGTTCCCCAATTTCCCCCACTGCCCCCTATTTTCCCCATTGTTCCCCATTTCCCCCATTGTTCCAAATTTCCTCCTTGCTCCCCAATTTCCCCCACTGTTCCCAATTTCCCCTATAGTCCCCAATTTCCCCCATTACTCCCCATTTCCC